ACACTGAGGGGAGGGAGGGAGCGAGGGAGTGTGAGGTGGAGGAGAGGGATGGCTGATTGTGAACACTGAGGCTGCTGTTCCCAATGTCACCTCGGGTGAGGTCGCTGCACATGGTGCCTGTGCGTCTGTGTCCGTGTGTGTGTCTGTGTCTGTCTGCGTGTCTGTGTCCGTGTACGTGTCTGCACCCATGTCTGTGCCCATTTGCATGTCTGTGTCCATGTCTGTGCTCATGTGCGTGTCTGTGCGCGTGTGCATGTCTGTGCCCGTGTGCATCTGTGCCCAAGTGTGTGTGCATGTCTGTGCCCGCGTGCGTGTCTGTGCCTGTGTGCAAGTGCGTATCTGTGTCCGTGTGCATGTCTGTGCCCGCGTGCGTGTCTCTGCCCGTGTGCATGTACATGTCTGTTCCCATGTGCATGTGGGTACCCGTGTGCATGTCTGTATCCGTGTGCGTGTGCGTGAATGTGTCCGTGTGCATGTGCGTGCCCGTGTGCTTTATGTGTCCGTGTGCATGTGCATGTCTGTTCCCATGTGCATGTGCGTACCCGTGTGCCTGTCTGTGCCCGTGTGCATGTGCGTGTCTGTGTCCGTGTCCTGGCTCCTGTCAAAGCACAGAACTGCTGATGCTGGAAATCTGAAGGAACATCAGAATTTGCTGGAGAAACTGAGCAGATATGGCAGCATCTGTGGAGAGAGAAACAGGGTTAATGTTTCAAATTCGATATGACTCTTCTTTCGAACTGAGAGGCAGCGTGGGGTTCTGTGCAGTCAGAGGGTTAAAGGGTGACAGAGCTGAGAGTTCAGATGCAGGATGGTGCAGTGGCTGTACGTGTTAACGATAATTGCCAGGATAAAGTACAGCTTCGACAAGATGCTGCACTGGAGCTTGCTAAATAAGAGCCCATGGTGTTAGGGACAAGGCACTGGCATAGATAGAGGATTGGCAAAGAGTAGGGATAAAGGGATTTTTTTCAGGATGGCAGCCAGTGACTAGTGTAGTTCCACAGGGGTCAGTGTTGAGACCACAACTATTCACATTATATATTAATGATCTGGACAAAGGAACTGAGGGCATTGTTGCTAACTTTGCAGATGACAAAAAGATATGTTGGGGGACAGGTAGGGTTGAGGATGCAGGGAGGCTGCAGAAGGACTTCAACAGACTAGGAGAGTGGGCAATGAAGTGGCAGATAGAATAAAATGTGGGAAAGTGAGAGGTTATGCACTTTGGTAGAAATATTAGAGGAATGGACAATAAATGGGGAAAGACTTTGGAGATCTGAAGCACAAAGGGACTTGGGAGTCCGAGTTCAGGATTCTCTTAGGATTAACATGCAGGTTCAGTCGGCAGTTAGGAAGGCAAATGCAACGTTATCATTCATTTCGACAGAGCTAGAATACAAGAGCAGGGATGTACTGCTGAGGCTGTATAAGGCTCTGGTCAGACTGCGTTTGGAATACTGTGAGCAGTTTTGGTTGCTGTATCTAAGGAAGGATGTGCTGGTGTTGGACGGGGTTCAGAGGACGTTCACCAGAATGATCCCAGGGATGAAGGGCTTGTCATATGAGGAGCGGTTGAGAACTCTGGGTCTGTACTCCTAGAAGGATGAGGGGGATCTGATTGAAACTTACAGAATACTGAGAGACCTTGATAGAGTGGACATGGAGAAGATGTTTCCACTAGTGGTAGAGACCAGGACCTGAAGGCACCTGAACCTTACCTGGTTCACTAAAGGAAACTGCTGGCCTACATGTGACTCCAGGCCCACAGCAATGTCAGAGTCAGAGCCCCTACCTTCGGAGTGTGCTGTAATCTCTCTGTCACCTCCAGGACCTGCCCCCCTCCTGCTGCTGCCTTTATCTCAATCAATGATAGTCTGTGTAGTGTTTTTGTCCGGTTTCTCTGGAACATTCCTTCTCCTGAATGCCGCGGTTTGTTCTCCCTCTCATTTAGCATCATCGAGCTTATTTACAATTGGCTGAATCGATCAGTAATTATGCCGAGCAACAGCGAGCCTGGACACTGATTGGCCGCAGCTACTTGTTCCGATATGAAAGGGACCACACGAGGGAAGCTCTTCAGGAAGCTCAGCAAGCTTTTATCAAGAGCCTCGAGATCCTCGACCAGAGGCTGCAAGGTAATCTACCCACGCTGGTATCTGGCTGCGAGGTAATCTACCCACGCTGGGATGTAGCTGCAAGGT